TAAAATAGAAAAACGCGAGAGGCACCATAGCGTATAATTGTGATTATGTTTCTAATATATATATATAGAATCTTTTTATTATTTAGCTATAAGTTTCTTTAGTCAAATACGTAGCAAATACATGTATAGTTTATAAATAAGATAAGGAAATGATGTCACTTTTCCTGGAATATAAAAATATGTAAGTATAGTGTGGTTCAATATACTAATAAGCAAAATCAGTTTTTATTCACTATTAACTATTGTTACTATAATTATTATTATTACTATTATTCGTATATGTTGTCTGTATTATGACACAGACCACGGTAACAACATTAATCTAGACATTTATAACACTCGAATATGTATCAAATATCGATATTTAACAAATACGTACGTATAACATCTATATCAATATGGATATATTAGAATCAAATTTTTAAACATTTTATAACTCAAAATATCCCTGTAGTATATTTATCAATATATTAAATGGAAATTTAGACTATTTAGATATACCAGAACGAAGTTAGTTATTTTTAGTTCGATTACGTAAACTGTATAGTTAAAATGATACTAAGTTCAAATCAATTTTAATTATTTATAATAAATCAATTGATAATGTGATTGACATAAAATTAATAGAAAATAACCGTTTGCAGCAAAGGATGAAATATTTATCATTTAGTCTATCTTCATTTTACATATTTTATATCAGTGATAATTATATTACTATGTTTTTAGTCATACAATGAAAAAGGAACATAGTAAAATTGGATATTCAAATGACTAATATTATAATTACCTAAATTTCGCGTAATAAATATGTAATTTATTACTGTAAGAAAATAATTGACTTGCCGGTCGCTGACAGACAGGCCTCAGCAGTTACTGCCCCATGGGCCTCATTGACTGCCGACAAACGGATCGCGATAAAACTATGTGCTCGCATAAAGTCTCGATCATTCTATAAGCGATCGAGAGCAAAGTGCATCGAAAGACCAAAGCCTCCATGCATGAGAAGTCATCAATAGTTCCTAAGAGACACTCGAGCAGTTAAGCAGAGACCAGAGTGTGAACTAAACCTTTTTCGCGACAAGATGTTTCTACGTTTTTAACCCGTATTTCTTCGTGTCACCCTCACATTATATTACTCTTACATAGAAATATTTGCATTTCCTATTATTTCTAAATTCTAAAATTATTTTTAGTTACTTTTACAAACTATGTATCTTCTTAATAGTTTGTCACGTTTATACGTATCATGTCCATGCTGTGTCATTAACACTAGGTTTACGGGCGCTATCTGTACATCTATTTCTGAGAACACCTGTGAAATTGACAGGTAAAAAAAGCTACGTACCTTTTTCTTTAACGACTAGTTTAATTTAAAAACATTTATATATTATATTAACAATCTTAATATAAGTTAACTAAATCTGTTATCATCGTATAATTGGAGCAACCCTTCCGTTAAATTCACGGGTTCCTTAAATCTAGTGTTAATGTGGTAAAGAAGGGGTTAATAATTTTCAACGAGAGCTATTCTCAGTTATATTTTTAATTTTTTGATGGTGTAAAATAAACGGGGATACGAGGTTTTCTGTGACGCGAAAAAGTGTCATCCATTGAACCCGTTAGCAAGGTTCCCATATCGCTTTAAGACGCCAGCCCATTGCGTCATTCAGCCTATCTTCGAGGAACCATCCAGCTCATCAATTTTCCTCGATGGAAAATAGATCCCGATAGATCCCGGTGCCATTAAAAATAAAGATTCCTCTCGCATTAATTACTCGTATAATTCCAAATCACACTTATCCGTGTTGTCGCGACGGCAATAATAGCTGGAAGGCGCGCCTAACCGTTCCTCTTCAAGATCGACAATTATAAATCACAAGGACTAGGGGTGGTCATACCTGAGACTAGACCCAACAGACGGGACGCACGTGCGACTGACCCACGAAAATGCTAACCAGACGTACGTATAAATCAAAACAAAGCAATACCAAAAAGAGAAACTAACCCAAGAGCCAGCCAAAACTCCTTGTCCAGTGAAAAAACTCTAATTTTCCTCCTTCTACATTCATTTTCCTTCAATCACCGCAAACCAAGACTAGGCAAAACGAGACGACAGGCAGTAGCCAGGACAGAAAGCAGAGTGAAAACAGTATCAGAAGAGTGAAAACAGTATCAGACGAGAGTGAAGACAAACCAGAAATCAGACGACAGTGAGGAGTAACACGAACAAGACGGTAGTAAGACGTAAAACACAAAACATCAGGACGGTATCGAAACTCAGTCAAACACATAAAACGAGAAGACAAAACGGAAGACGAAGCAAGACGAAACGGCAAAGGCTGAGACGATACACTACACACAATCATCATACAACTTAGAAAACGTGTAATAAATTGTAAATACACCAGAAACTGCGCTTTATTACACCACCGAAGTGCTCAATGTCTCGCAAGTGACGCGACACATTGAGAAGAGGGTAGCAGCATTATCAAATCCTACCCAAACCCGCGTGGACCTCAACCTTCTTACACCACGCGGTACAACACGTATGATCGCAACGCACTTACCTCTCTGCCATAGTAATATACAACGTAACAATGACGCAAAAATACCACCGAACAGATATAAAACATTCAGCTTCCATTAACACACGACATTGCAGCTCAAACCGAAAACCGTTGCTCAATTATTCTTTCCGCGGAGAAACAGTTTACTCGGTGGCTGAATAATCCGGACATGAAAAAGTTCGCCACCTTGGAATTCAACTTGTTGCTCGGTGGCATTCGAATTCTCGGAAGCCCCGATTCCACGCCGAGGAGAATAACACCTCGACCCTTTGCCCGGTCAGAGAACAGCGGAGCGCCCTTCTTCCACGGAAAGTTCTCCGTCGAAAGTTCGAACGGGCGAAAAGAAAGACCACCAATGGCGGGCGAGCTTGAGAGGAGAGCCGCAAACGCGAGGAAAGCGGTCTGAACAGGGAAAAGGGAGGAGAGCGTGTGCGATGAGGCGATATACACCGTGGCCTGAGCGGCGAAAGCCTAAAGCCAAAGGGTACGCGTGCAGAGCGGGCAGACGCTCGCGTCGATACAAGGAGTCGATTGTGGCTTGAAAGACACCGCCGGATCCACAATGCGGCCCCCTTCCAGACGTCTCCTAGAGCACAGTGGTCGACTTGTGCTTGCGATACGATTCCGATGTCGAGATTACGCTGGATTTCGTGGATCGCGCGCGGCCCATCTCCAACTGCTCGGCTATTAGCTGCGTCTTTGATTGGCTGCGTTTAATGGCCCGAGCGACACGCATATAAATTGCCGCTTACCACCGACTTTGAAGATATTTCCAGGCACGCGGCCCTCTAGCTCGCTGTCTCTGCGTGTATAGGCTGCGACTTTCCAACGGTGGTTACACTCCGATTACTTAGAATTATTGCCAGGCAAATTGGTCCCGATAAAGATTTGTCGGGATACGAACAGGTTGAAGATGGGGTTTTAGACGTTCTCGAAGATTTATCTGGTCGAGATGATGTGTCAAGTGGCAGATGGCAGGTGGCGTGGTTGTTATTAGACTGTTGGTGATGAGTGATCATTGTTGGCAGGTTTAGCATTTTAGGGGAGATTAATGGTTTGCTATGTTTAAATATGTTGGATAATAATATGGTATTTAGGTAGAAACGTTTCGTTGCTTATAATTGGATGCGAAGTGCCTGTTAACTGAACTTTTATCTTGTTCCGTGAAAAGATGGGAGTTATTATGGTTACTGATATTCTGTTATTCATAAACAGGATTGCCGTCGCGTTTGAGATTTCAGGGGAAATTAATGGTTTGTTATGTTTGTTATGTTGGATAATAATGGTATTTATGTAGACACATTCTATTTCTGATATTGAAGATAATGTTATAGAATAATTATCCTAAATGTTATTTGATGGAAATGTTATAGTTCGGTTGTGTTAGATCACCTCATGAGTAATGCAAAATAACTTAAGATTTATCGGTAATTAATCAGTATTTTTCTCCAATTTTTACAGTTCTTTATCATTTTTTAATCGAATTCTCTCTTTCTGTGGTATAGATTCAAATCTTATATTTTAACAGCATTAGAAAAACTGCAATATTTACGTATATAATGGTGTAATATAATATATATATGAACTGAGAGATTGGTAACTAAAATAAAACTTTTGAGATACAGATATATGAATATGGGTATCATTTTATAATCCCAAGTCATTATGGGAAATTGAGTTTTAATCGAAGTGAACATTGTACAAGAAAATTTCAAAAACGAGTGCCTATTTTATATTTGTTTTTTAAGAGATCTTTTTATGTAAGTATTTTCTAAATAAATAAAATTAATACATCAATATATATTTTTCTACATTTTTGTACATGATATTAACCTTAACAAAGTTTTTCTATTAGTTTTTGTCTATAATTCTTGTTTTTAATTCCTTTATTCTCATACAATATTCTAAATCGATCAATTAATTAATTTTTCTGCATCTATAATTTTGATACTTCATTAGTTCCTTTATGCCTTATTTCCAAATGCCCGCTTTTTAGTGATTTACTAAACATAAGTATTATTAAAATTAAATTAAAATTAAATTGCACTTATGCAATATTATATTGCGAAATATTACATTAATATTATTAGAAATTTCAAACACCTCATATTATTAGACAAAAGACAATTTACAATGTCACATTATCTCAGAGTTACATTCACGCGTACACATTCGGTGACAGTGGCGCATTGTGTAACCTATCAGAACGCAAAAAATTCTTTAGAATGGATCAAAACGGTGCGAATCTTTTCAACGTAGCAATTATCAAACACGCAAACAGATCAACGTGAATTAAAATTGATCAAACCAAATTACATACCCCATAAATAAGATATACATAGGTGAAACACGCGTATACCTTGTACGTCTATATCTCGTAAATCTTGACATACATTCCTGTTCCCTAATCCGACCACCCTTGTATCCTAGAACATGCCTGATCCAGATTCTGATTTTTCGAAAGCTACAGAAAATAACGAAAGCTCAGTGATCCGCTATATCTCGTCTAGCTCTTCATCGGCGAGCAACGTGTACCTTAGAATAAAGCCAAATTCCGGAGAAACTAACCAAGAAATCTATACAGTGGTCGGTTCAACGACGCTTCTCGTGAAGAAAGGAGAAAACTTGGATAAGAGATATGGGTTCACACGAATTTTCGACTCGGATACTTCTCAAGCGGACCTGTTTTATCACAGCATAAGGCACCAAGTGATCCACTTCCTCCTCGGTAAAGACTCGACTATCTTGACCTACGGTGTGTCGAATTCTGGGAAAACGTACACCCTATACGGGACACCGGAATCACCAGGTGTCATCCCGCGTACCATCGAGCTCTTGTTCTCCTCCGTCAACTGCACCCTAGCTCCCTGGTACAAGATCACAGACGACAATCGAATCGTCACCCTGAACGAGTTTGAACGAACACGCGAACTGCACAGCAAAACCGATCTACTGAACCCAAAAGTAATCACCAAGGACGAGTACACGCAGGCTCGACTGTCCCTGAACAACACGAATCCTCAACTTGCAGAGCAAGAAGAGCAAGAGTACTGGGGCGATGAGTGCATGTCTTCCGTGTGGATATCAGTCGCAGAAATCTACAACGACAATGTTTATGATCTCCTGAACGTCAACGATCAAGAAAGAAGACCTCTCAAAGTGACGACTGGAAGGGATGGATCGACCTACGTGAACTGTTTGAAGTTCCTGCCAATTACCACAGCTTTGGAAGCCTGTCAGTTGCTCATCTTCGTCCAGTCGAGGATGACAGTGGCCCAGACAGCGATGAACGTCGCAAACTCGCAATCTCACACGTTACTGACGCTGAAGTTGCTCAAGTACGAGGAGGAGAACGCCCCGGACAAAGTCAGAGTCAGCACGTTGACATTTTGCGACGTGGCTGGTTCCAGACGGTTTAAGACTAGGGAAGAAACAGGAGCCAGGTTACTGGAGTCGAAAAATATAAACAACAGTTTGGTGGTGCTGGGAAGATGTCTCAAGAATCTTCGCAGTAGCCATTTGTCCGGTGATCACGTAGCTGGACCGTTTCGGGAGTCGAAATTAACCAGGATCCTCCAGAGGGTGCTGTCAGGTCGGGAGATGGTCAGCTTTATCGTCACTATCGACACTACCAGCGAGACATTCCCGGAAACCTTGAGCGTTCTAAATTTCTCGACGATGGCGAGGAGATTAGGCAACGAGTCTAGAGTGTCGAGACGAAACACGGTCTCCACGATCACTCCGCTGAGTTCAAAGTCGTCCACGATGACTTCTGTTACACAGAGTCCAAGGAAAACTCTCACGATCGATGTGGATGAATACGAGAGTCTTAAACAGCACAACAGGAAGCTGATGGAGGAGCTACGAGCTGTCAAAGCTGCCAATTCTACGAAGCAGGCTAAGTCCACGAAGATGTTCAAGGAAACACAGTCGGAGAGCTCGTACTTCGATTATAGGAAGTTGGAGGAAGAAAATGAGAAATTGAAGAATCGCGTGGAAACTTTGGAACGTGATAATTTGAATCGCGAATTGGACGTGAGACAAGAGTTGATGGATCAATACTCAGCAACTATCGAGGAACTAGAGTCTTCGTGGAAGAAGCGTGCAAAGGATATCGAGGATAAAGGTCAAGATTTATTAAAGTGGTCCGTGGATCAAGTCGAGACGTTCTACAAGGAACGTATCGATAGTTTAATATACAACAAGAAACGCAAGAGGAACGACAACGACAACGCTGATGGCATTCGATTGATCTACGAGGAGCTCGAAACGGAGAACGCGTTGATCACGTCGAAGGTGGTGGTTTTGAGGGAAATGGTGCAGAGCTTGAGGACCGAGAACGAACTGCTGAGCACGGATAGGAATAAATGCAACTTCGAATTGACGCTGATCAGGAAGAAACTGAAAGCTTTTCACGATCTACTCCGACTTCGCTTCCCCGAATTATTCTTGAAGGTGCACGATAACACGAACGACGTTAGTTGGCTCATTCACGAACTGAAGCGTATGTTCGATGAGAAGGTGGAAAATATTCAGGTTTTGGAGAAGGACCTGAGTCGGGCCACGGACGACTACGTGAAAATGGCGACGAAATCAATAGAGATGGAGAAGGAGTTATGCAACACGAAGATCAGCCTGCAAGAGACGTTGAATAAAACGAAAGATTTCGAGACCGATATACGAGAGAAAACGAATCGTATACACGGCTTGCAATTTCAATTACAGTTACTGAGAAAGGAGCTGGTAGATGTACGCGAATGCGAGATCGATTACGGTACGTCGAAAAGTAGTCGAAAAGGGAACATCCAGAGCTTAGCTCGGAATTATTATCCAGGTTACAGTGACGAATTCTTCGGTAACGATAACGTCGATAACACGGAATTAACGCAGGCTCGCGTAGACATCAAAGCGGAACATTATTTTAATCATGCCGATACAAATTCGCTGAAAAAAGTGTATATGCACACCGTGGATACCGACATAGATCGACACACCATCAGATCCAGCGACAGTGGCAACGCGAAGGAAGACTCGGGGATTGATTTCAGCTGCAGAAGCCAGATATCGATCAGCATCAATGGTGGTTCGAGCATCAAGGAGGTGAAAGAAAATTGTACGCAAACCACTTCCCAGTTACCAGATAACACCGATACCAATGACACGCGTGAAAGAATAGAACAGACCGAGTCGACAATAGACCTGGTCAGTTCAGAAGAGTACACCAAAAAGGAAAGAGAAGTGTTACTTAGCAAAGGACTGTCTTCCCAGATGAATGACACGAGATCACATGTCTTGAAGAGAATCGCGGATTTCAATAAATCCGAAACAGCAAGGTGCACTAGCAAGCTGCTGACCTTCCAAGTCAAAATGGAGGAACTGAAAAAGGAAAACGAGAAATTGAGAAAATTGATCGAGATAGACTCGCAGAAGTACAATGAACGTATCAAAGAGTTGACCGATGAGCTACTGCTTAAGGAGGAAGACGATATCCGTAACCTGAAGCAGCTGGAAGGTTGTCTGGAGAAGTGTGCCTATCTCGAGAATCAATTGTCCGTGCTGCATCTGGTTCACGAGGAGACGGTGAGATCGTTGACGAATCGAAGAGTAGAGCGAGGCACGCAGGTCGAAAAATTGGAAATGGAACCGTCGATGGAAAGTTTGCAGGCGGAAGAGACAGGCGGCGAGGTGGCAGAGGCGCGAAGCGATCTGTTCAGAGTGCAGCAGCTGCAGGAGAAGGTTAACGGGCTCGAAACTGTTCTCGAAAAGTGCCGAGAGGAGAAGAACAATTATCGTGAACGATTGCAAGAACACTTAGAGATGCAGTCGATGCTGGAAATGAAACTGAAGTGGCTGTCGACGGAAGTTCGGAACAGAGATGACGAGCTGATCTGTCTGAAAGCGGAAGTCGACAACATGGTGCTGGCGAATAACTCGAACAATGAAAGCGTAAAAAGCTTGAGCGAGGAGATCGTTCGATCGAGTGACTCCGTGAATTGTATGAACGAGAAACTGACGTTTTTGGAAGAAACACGACAGAGGCTGGAAGAGACGTTGGAAAGTAAAATCCTCGAGTCCCGATTGAGTTCTGGGTACCTGGTAAAGGATACCGCTTCGTTGAACAAAGTTGACGAGGAGGAAAAAGAGAAAGAAGTAGAAAGTTGCGATCTGAAATTGAGGTTATGCGAGAACGAGCGAGAGATGGTCTCGCTGAAGAAACATCGGAATGATATGATAAAGAAATACGAATGCATGGTGCAGCACTTACGAATCCAGGTTGAGAAAAAGAAGGAGCAAATGATTAAATTGCAGAAATTACTTTTGTCCAATTTCACGTGGAGGTATCGAAAGTTGGCTGGTAGGAGGAGTGACAAGTCTACGACTTTTCAACTACAAAAGCTAGCTAATTATAGTAATCGAGATTGGAAGCTGCCTATTGTTAATAAAAGTAACGAGGAACGCTCTTTGTCGATGATGAAAGGGTCAATGGATAGCTCGAGCTACGCCAATTCCTTAAATTCGCAATTTTCCACCAAAAACGCAGGGTCGGATACAAACAGTGCATGCGAAACAGAGGCGTCTTTCTCGGTACGTTCATTAATTAAATTAAAGAAATTTCATCTGGAATATACAATATGCAGGAACATTACGCACATCCTATGATTTGCAGTATTTCTCGAAGCTAATGCGATATAGAAAAATATTCCGTATCCACTCATATTCCTTAACTTCGTCAGGGGCAAATTTATTACGTTCAGGAAGAGATCATTATTTTCCATTTTTATAAAAATATAATATAATACGTACAATTGTTGGAAGTTGAAGATACTTACTCGTGAAAAGATTCTATATGTCCGAAAACATTTATTAACAATTTTATTATATTTTTCAAAATCCGCGAAATATACAAGTGCATCAGTGTCCTCCAAGAGATTAATAATATAAGAAAAGATTAATCGCAATTCACATTTTTTGTATTACAATTTCCATCTATTTATGTTAGAAATGAGTATAACAGAATAATAGCACAACTATGAAAATACAAATAGTCAAAATTTTTATTTCTGTAAATGAAAAGATTTTTTACAAATCTTCCAATGGAACGATATTTCTAACCTTCTTCTCTAAACTCAAATTTGATTTATAATCGTGTGTTTCTCTTTTGATGAGGCGTACTTCTCCAAAGTTACCCAAGAAACACTGAAAGTCATAAGATGTCCTGGCGCGTACTGCACATATTCAGTACTGTCCATCCGCGAGAAGAAGGCAGACAAGTGTTTACATCCCCATCCAGCCATAATCCTACTAGCTGTACCACCAACATCGATCTTCGTCTCCATCTTTGACTGACAGTTGAGGTGGTGGGGATCTCTAACCGTAGTGGGGATGTAAACATTCGCCTGACTTCTTCTCGCGGACGAACAATAGATACTAATAAGTATATTAACCGTTCCTCCCTGTCTTATACTCTACAGTTTTAAACGCTTCAGACAGAGAGCAGTTTGGGGTTGAACGACTCGAACGTAGACGCACGTCAGATCCAGAGCGACGCCTCCGACTGCTGCGAAGTGCACTGTGGTTGCGGTATTGGTTTTAAAAATGCTGGAAGGCACGGAAGAATGTCAGGTTGGATGAAAGTTCGAAGAAGCAACGCGAATACCTGTCTCCTGCTTCAACTCGACGGAGAATAAACCAGACCAGGGTTCACAACGATGCTTCCAAGGCTGATGTTGCGAAGCATTGTTCGTAATTGCTATAGGAGTACCGTGATATCTCAGGCAATTGAAATTTCTGTAAATACTTATGTGGTCTCGTGCTCATATTCTTCTTCACCGATTGTTATCATTTTTTTCGATTATTCGTTTTTTAATTTTGTCGATATTTTGCGACGCGTTTTGAGGTTGCTTCGCAGGTCACAGGTTGAATAAAGAAAAGGTAACACACGTGCGACGTGGTCCCCTGTCTTCGTTCGCTACTCGAATTAGACGGAAGGAAAGGAAATTATACCCCGGCTGCGTCCCTATATGTGATCTTTTCGCGAAAACGCTGCTCAGCCCCGACCTTCTGCGGATTCTGATATATGAAATTATGACGAGGGACATCGGAATGGAACTATAAGTCCTTTCCGCGCGATCGCTCAGTCTCTGATGGTATTACCGGAATACCTCGTAATGGGAAGATCAGATAAATGAAACGAAACGCGAGAATACATTATATCAACGTTACGTCGCTGAGGGGAAATTAGCGGTTTCATTTTTATGGCCCTCGGATCGATCTCGAACTGCCCAATAATACCAAGGGTATCATTTTTACGTCGACTAGATGAGAGATTTCGAAGGTAATGAGTTACGTCAATCTCCGTAATCAGAAAGTTCGAATATTCCTTTTCCAGAAGCATGGTAGCGCAGTCGTTTAATCTAATGTTAACGTTTGCTATTAGAATTATCTAATAGAGTGATTTATGACTTTGGAGACATCTTTGATTCCTTTTTTAGGAATGACATTCTCGTTTGTTACAGAATAAAATAATTTTGTTTAAAAGAATAGAATAAAGATTAAAATTTTTGGTGTAGGTTTAATAGGTTTAGTGTAAGATTTATATGGTGATATTCGAAATGAGTATTTCTAAATTTCAAGAAGAATTCTTAGTAAAATGGATTTTAAAGTAATAATGTGATTACTAGAAAAATTATCTTATTTGAATTAATTAAAAAGTGAAATAGATAAATGCCTATTTCTGAATATATTATATCATTTTCTTTTACCTTTTACTATATTCTTACAAAAATTTACCTGACTTGAGAGAATTATATATCATGAAGGTTTTGTATGATAATGTTCAAAAAGGTTATTTCAAAATTTATAAAGAAATTCTTAGTTTAAGAATTTATATAGAAATATAATTTCTAATTTATATAGAAATTCTTAATAATTTATTACAGAAATTATTATAGAAAAATTAATCAACCTATTTAATTAATTAAAAAATAAATATTGGAAGAATATCTGTATTGAAAATTTTGTCTATATTATCTCAAGCTAATGGGTTATCCCCATATAGATAAATGAGTAAATAAATAAACATTTCTTTTCGTTACTTTGTTCAAACGATTCGTAGGTTGGTGCAGAATTTGTAGGTCGACCTAAATAAAGGTGCCAAATTTTTGCGAAAACGAATCGCCAAGACCATTTTCTGGTTCACCTTGCCACCGCTGATTTCCCCGGTAAATGTACTGCGAACTTTCCTCTTTCAATTGGCAATAAGGTTTGATCGTCACGGGAAATATCATCCAATTTCCTTTCTCTGCCGACCGGTCTACATTGCTACTGTCTGTCTACCCCTTAACTATAGCATCAGCTAGCCCGTCACGCCTCCAGTTTTGCGTCTGTTTTATGTTAGAAGGAAACCAGGACACCTTTTATTCTTTGAAAAAATTTTAACATGTGTATTTTATTTAAGACACGTACTATTCTTCGATATCCATTTTTACCCATTTTACCTGATGTAGAATAGTAGCTACGAAAGGATATTTAATTAAACATGGTATCGAAGGAAAGTACATCAAGTGCAATATATTTAGAATGATTTTCAATATCCTTGTTCAAAATGCTTTGTCGGAGTGGTCTCATGATTGTTCTGTTGATTTGTAAAACGTTCAGAAACGTTAAGTCTCATTGATAGTAATGTAATACAAGTGATTGCGAAAATTTAGTAATTATAGTTGTGAATTTTCTTAGTGACTGGTGCTCTATGTTTAGACTAAAGAAAATATTGGAGTGTCACTAGCGAAATAAGCAAAAGAGTATGGGAAATACATATTTTTGTTTGCAAGTTGCGTGATATTTTTATTGTTAATTTATTTGATGATGTTTATTTGCTTGTCCTTTACTGGACATGCGTTGATATCATTATTGTGAAACGCAATGCAGTAAATCAATTTATTGTTAGCTGTAGAGTAAACTTATAATTCAAGTTTGCAATATTTTCGATTCTATGTACTCAGGTATTGAAACGTTAATACTTTGGTTTCAAAAGTGGTAATTATAATAAATATTTTATTAAATGTGTGTTCAATTTTACCAGAGATAGTCATGTGTTTTGTGTTTATTTAATATACTATTATTATTATACTTTCTGTTATATTCGGTTCCTTGTGTAATGATTTCTAGCACATCGTGACAGGTGTGAAAGATTAAAATACTATACATAGATTATATTTCAATAAGGAAATTATTGTTTGCGAGAATCATATCATAATTTATTAATTTCTTCACTTTTATTATAAATTCATATTGCGAACAATTTGTTATTAACAATTAATCTAATAATTTATAAATTTGTTGTAAATTTCTGGAACTTTTTAACATAAGTTCGTTACAAGTTCAAGTAATAGCCAATAATTTATTAAATTTTTCACTTTTCTTATAAATTTGCGTTGTGAACAATTTCTTATTAATGATAAATTTGATAATTTGTACATGTTTTATAAATTAAATTTTCATGATACGTATATACATGTAAAAATATCTTTACTTCCTCTATATTTTTGGCTAAAATGAAAAGTAAAAACGTTAGAAAATTCCTTCTCAGTTTATAAGTTAGGTGGGAGTTTCTATTAAAAAGTCATTCGTGTTTATGTAACAAATAACAAACCTGTTTTAAATGATAAGTGACTCTGAGAAATTTCTTATAATTTTACGATTAGTATGAAAGAGTGCATAAGAACATATACATGCGATATATACAAAAAATGAGATCTACTGGACGATGATTTTGCTGTCGATTACGCGTGACTACGACCCTGACGAAGCTAGATGTGCGAGCAATGACTGCGTGGCGGCAAAATCCCGCTTACGGGTTCCCGATATATATTTTACCGTCCTGTGAATATTGAACATCATTCTAATATTGCTTCTGAATGGCTTTTTCTTCAGAAAAGCCTGTGCAGCCAATTTGTGGCAGGTAAAGAACTTTTCATACTAACGCAAAAATGGTGCATAGAAAGAACACTCGGCGGCTTATTTTTAAACTTCGATGATCAGTTGTAATTATTCGGAAACACAAATAATAGTAATTATTGATATTGATAAACTCGGGATATTCTAACCTAATTTTTAAAATAAGAATGAACCTTCTAACGATCTCACTTTTCATGTAATACTTTATTTTATCCAGAAGTCGGGCGTTTTTAGCAAAACTACTAATATTCGGAAACTGAAGGAGAGTAAACTCTACAAGAACTACTAGATTGGTATTACAGATTAAAATTCACGTTGAACAGTGTAATTTAACACCTTGAACACTTAAATAATTTTTATACATATAATATTATCGATGTTAATTCACAGAAAAATTGACATATAGATATGGATTATTAAATTTCTTAAATATCTGAACGTTTATATCTCATGTGCGTTTACTCATGAGTGTACCGTGTTAAGGCTTAGTTTAATTGATTACATTAATCGACTTTTAGTTTATTTACGTGCATCAATCTATTCGATAATATATTTAGTTCAATATTTAATATCCTTTTTATTTATTTATTTATTTATTTATTTATTTATGGAATTACCCTCTGATACATAGCGAAATAAATTGGGGAAGGTACAGAGGTAGAAACAAAACCGAGTAATAATAATAATAATAATAATGACAATAA